AATATTTACTAATAGGCTTTTAGACTGTATATATGATAAAAATACCAAGAATATTATCATCTTATTGGCATGCCAATGCCTCGATTATTTTTTTAAAGAATATTTATTGGTCAGATATAAGATTCTGATATCTACTGATATACCCCATTACCCAATTTGGCATCACTCAACCAGTAAAAAGAAAACCAAAAGAATTATACATAAGCAAAGAAAGATGGGACCTAAATTAGCACAAAAGAATTCTAAATCATGCACAAACATAATAGCTTGATAGCTTGATTGACATAGTGGTGCAGTCTTGGATTCCATGCAATTTTTAATTGTATATTTTAAATATAATTAATTATACATCTTTAATAAAACAAACATGACTTAGCTATTTAATCATTTCTAAGGATGTTAGCCGAAACGGATTTTGAAAAAGTCAATTTCAGCAAGAAATTTCAGATTTACAATATTCTTCATATCAATAGTCATAAAAAAACTACCCAGAATTTTCGGCTATTTAGTTAAAGTGTTCAAATAATTTCAACATAACTTCGGCATCTATGAAAAACTATTTCGGCATTTTGGATTCGGTGACGATCATTTACTAAGAGGGGCAATTTCAGCTAACATGCTTGAAACAGAAAATTTATGAAAATGATTAATTTATGTATGACATACCAAACAAAATCTGAACCATTTTAGTTTACTAACATCAGAGCCCAAATGCAATTTCAGGGTCACCCTGCTCTGAATTGCAACCTCCTGTGCTTGAAACGAGTTGCAGGTTCTCTTAATATTACTCCAGAGTTGTGACAGCTTGGTCACAGAGCCATCCCTACCCTAGAGATAGGATCGTTGTAGGCAATTTTTTGGCTAACATGGCAGCCTTCTCTGGTCTGGGTGCTTTGAGAAAAGATTGCCAAAAGTGTCATTGACAGTTGATGCAGCTTTGATGCAGCTCCAGGACATGCCCACCCCTCCTGGAATTCAGTTGCATCATTGTATCATCGAGGGACTGAGTCAGATTAACCTTGTGCACAAGAGGAACATGTGAGAATGACTGTAACATGTTCAAGGTAGCGTGCGTGCTTCAACGTCTGCTAATTTCTGATAATCAAACATCACATATCGAAATGTTCATATTCATATTCAACGGTGTGCTTTTCTTGTAATTATTTATTGTAATAATAATGATGATGATGATGATGATATTGATTATGAAAAGCCAAATACCAATTATTTACCATCATGATGAGAATTTTATACTTACCCAGCAAGACCTGCTCCGCATTTTGATTTCAATCATATACATTATATAAATCCACATTATATCAATGCAAATTAAAAAAAAGTTACCTCTGGTTAGTTATTAACACGCTTTTAGAACCAATCATACCAAGCAATATTCGCGTTTTGTCATCTGTCAAAAGATAAATTGTTTTTCCAAAAAAAAATAAAAATAAAAATAATCACACTACTAAATTTCGATCCTTGAAATTCTGGTAATGCCAAATGTTCACTTTGGTTTTGTTGCAGCATGCCCCATTTATCAATCATTATCAAATTATCAATTATTTAATTGTTATTTTAGAATAAGATGTTATTTTAAAAAAATCAAATAAATAATATTAATTTTTATTCTTCACGTGAAGAAAGGCCATTCAAAATCATGTGATCTGAGAGATTTCTGTAAAAAAAATTTTCAGGAAAAATATTATTATTAGTTAAGTAATTGACCAATCAGAGGTTGCAGACGATTGCTTGCATTAATTCGTGATCCGTGAAACATCTACAAAATTTTCATAACAGAATTTGGCGCAGATCACTAATTAAAATTTTCTGGACTCCAACTTTCACCCCCAACGTGACCACCCTTTATGTTTATATAAACTAAAATTGTACTTTTAACACATGATATGAATCTCGAAGTTTAAATATACAAATTTTCAAAGGGACTTTCTTATAAAATATTTTATGTTTATATGTAGGAATCGCTGGATTCCTGCCTAAAATTACTATATAAAATTTAAAGGTTTGAGTAAGCAACTAAAAATATTTATGATGTAAAAATGGGTGTAGAATTAATTTTATCCAAGAAAAATATAAATATGTTATTTCTATTTAGTTTTTAATAGTTACTCTTTTTAAAATAAAATAAAAATTGTCGTGGTCGTGTAATTTTCTTGACTCACGTTGGTCACGTGAGGTAATATCAGATTCTCAAAACTCCTGAAAATTATAATTTTATTATCGCCACAAAAACATATTATATAATGATCGGCAAATTTTTGCAGTTGTTTCACGGATTACGAATTAAACTTTTTTGGGTTGCAACCTCTTCTTCATCTATTAATTGTATGTAACAAAAAATATTTTATATCATCTTAAAAAGTTAATCGATAAGTTTTATCGTTCATGACTCAAGCTTCAAAATTTATCAGCTAGTTTTTTTTTCAAACTAAAATTGGCTGAGCCTTAGCATTTTGAAAATTTCAATTTTGTCATTATTGCATTTGAAAGAAATTGAGACCAAGTAAATTTGTGTAACAAAATTTATCAAAAAAAATGAGAAATTTTTTTTTGCATGAATTTGAATGGTGGTTTTTTTAAAATCTAACATGTGGGTGGATTACATAATATTTCAATTAACTTTTGAGTGTATATAGTAATAGATTAGATGATTGATCCGCATCGGAGTTAAATAAAAAAAATAAAAAAATAAAAAATTTCTTATGGACGCCTGCTTTATCTTTAAAGGGGAAAGATCCACAGAAAAAACCAATTGGGAATCTCTTTACTGGATATGTAAACTTATTAAGGGTAGATCACGTGAATTTTTACTTTCTCAAATTAGCAATTGTTCTAAAGGTAAAATTACGCGAGACGCGTTCAAACAACTTCTGGACTATTATATATAAAAATTTCAAGCTTTTGCCAAATAAACAGGGACTGATTTTTTCACCAGTTATAATCCTTATCATATAAATATAAATTATGCAAAAATCTCAATTTTGGTCAGAGGGCGCTGAAGGTACCTTTTTCTAGAGAATCACATATGTATTCTGGTGTATATTAATCATTGAAAGTGATTTGGAATAAGTGTTTCTTTTAAAAATCCGTTCGGGCGAGCTTTATTTTTTAAAGAAAAATTTACTCAAAATCACTTTCAATGATTAATATGCACCAGAATACATAATATAATAGAAGAAGTTGTTGAACATGCCTCACGTTATTTTACCTTTAGAACAATTGCTTAAAATTTTTGGGTGGCGAATTTTGTATTAAATTGTCGCGTGATTTATCATACCCTTAGAACAAAGCCTTTTGCTCTGATTTGTTTGGCCGTAAAGTTTATCCATCCATCATGATTTTTTTCAATATATAAACTTTTTATTTAACAAGAAAAAACCCGATATTTTTGAAGATTTCGGATAAAAATTTCCCAATCAGGGCATTTTTGATCACACATTTCGCACCCTTCTTGGCCTATTTACCTAATTCATGTTTGTTTGTATCCTAATTGAAGGATAGTTTTTATAAAAAAAGTTATGTAACATGATTTGATTTGATTAGGGCAACATCATTCATCCATCACCCAATCATTTATTCTGGGAATGCAAAAATTACTAATGTATAACGTTACACCTCACTAGTACACGACGAATTTGAGTTTTATAGTAATTTACAATTTGGTATTTAGAAATCTCATATATATATGGTGAAACCCAGATTAATTGATATATAGAAGAATAGAGTATGAAAATAATTTTCAAGGGTAAACCTGGGTCGTTACAATTAAGCGTTGTGATGATCTGTTTATTAGTTAAAATCGATCTACATATTGGTATTATCGCACTAATTGACACAACCGTTAATTATGACAACCCAGGGTCTACCCCGCCTCTAAAAGTATTTCCATAACTTGCTTGCTTTGCTAATATTGCCACGTGAATTCTCAAACGTTAAAAATATTATTGCCATTTTGAGTTTCTCAAATTGGCGTTGTAGAAGTTCAGACTAGGTGACTTACAACCATATTTAACCTTTTGTTTTGTTATATTTATGCGCAATTTCTCAAATAAGTGATACAAAAAACACAAATACATACATTATATGCAAATTATTATTTATAGTTATTTAGAGGTGAATTCAATGTGAAAAGTTGCATTGTTAACAATATTATAAATAATTATTGTAAATTGTTCGTTTTCTCACAAAGATTAAATCAATTTGTACACATTCTTTTTCTAGTTTTTCTAGCATAATATATATTGTTTTGCTTAAAGTCAAAAAGTGTTTTGTAAAGAATTCAATCGAATCGCGTTTTTTTTTAAAAAAAATTTTTTAATATTGTTGATATGGCTTCTTTTGCAGTTCCACCAACCTCGGGTTCTTCTGCAATTCCAATTGTTGCTCCAACTACAACCAAAGACACTCAAAAAAATCAAAATATTAAAAGTTGGTTTGGTTTCTTATTATTTTATATTCTCTCTTTTTTAAAACCATTAACCATTATTAAAAAGTTTCTTCCGGTCTTGTCTCGTCTATAATTAAAATTAACATTTAAACGCCTTATTTTTCTATCATTTAGATAATACTAAATCGCGTACTTGTAGAAATTTAATCATACATGGTTATTGTAAATTTGAAGGAAAAAGTTGTGAATTTAATCATGAATTTGTAGGTGTTTTTCCAACTTCTTTTTTATGGAGAAATTCATTATTAATTATTAATGTTTATTAATTATATAATGAATATTTAATTAGGGGAAGTCGACTTCACCTCCCAACAGTCCTGAAACGTAGGAGGATTTATATACACATTAACAATTCTTAATTATTTTTCATTGTTCCAAGTCATTTACTATCACTATAATGTTTATATATATTAGATCCAAATCAAAATTAAGTGTAACCTCTCCAGTATTCAAACCATCATCATCATCATCATCATCATCTACTACTACTTCATCAACCACCACTACAACTTCATCTACTACAACTACTAGTATCGTTTCTACTATTCCACCAGAAGTAATCAATGCCCCTCCTTTTATTCCAAAAAACAACCAAGGTTAGTAATTAATTCATTCATTCTATATGAAAAAAAAAGTATTTAATCTAATCTTAGTTTTTAATTTTTATCCATACAAAATAAAAATAAAAAGGAATTGGTACTGAAGATATTAAAATTAATAATAATAGTAGCAGTAGCAGTAGCAATAGTAGCAGCAGCACAATCTTGACTACTACAAGTATTCCAAGTAAATTTATTTATGCATATAAAGAACTTTATTTATGAATGTTAATTATCTCTTTGATATTTATTATTCTATTTTCCATATTTTTAAAAAGGCTCTCCTCAAGAACAGAAATTTTATGATGGCGATGATCAAGAGTATGTTGATTAATTAATATTTGAATAATATGAACGAGTAATACATATACAGAAAGATTAACTTCTTTTTATCTTCATCCATTTTTTTTCCTTTCTTCACAAAAGTGGTCCTTTGTTTGATCAATCTGTAAATTTCTTCCCACCTCAATCTACCACCACTTCTTCATCTTTTTTATTATCCTCTGGTGGCGGAGTAGGAACTCGTGGTTTGAATGCACTCGCTAATTCGTTTGCATCCTTAGGATTAAACAATAACGTTAGTCTTTTAATTAATCAATTAATTATATAAATTAATTTAACTTATTTATTTTGCTTGTTTGTTAGGTTACACGATTTACGTCTGAAGAAATACCGTTGAGTGAATCAGCTACTCATCATCATCAGATTAATAATACAAGTTATTACACTACTTCACATTACTTGGATCCATTTTTATATCAAAGCCAGGAGGCTCTATTGCCACAACCAGTACGCATGCACGTAGATGATGTATTAATGATTTTAAGAACATAAAATTTTTTTATTGATTTTTTTTTTCCATTATTATATTTAATCGTAGCTTCAGTATCATCTTTACACATCACCCCTGCCACATGTATCAAATTTACACCCACACCAAAAAACTATTCATGCTTTTTTTATGTCGGACCATTTACGCGAAGAGTTGCAACAAAAAAACGAAGCAACTTTGAAAACAGTAAATGGTATTTATTTTTTTAATCATTTATTTTATGATAATTTATTATGTATATTTTTGTGGATTAACCAAATTTTTTTCCTTCATTAAATCAAAGCCAAAGATTATAATTTACCTGAGGAGTTGCATGTATACCATTCTTTATGTCCGCTTGATGAACGTCAAGAAAAATCTGTAAATATTTTTGGGTATCCAACTTGGGCATATAAGTCAGTAAGCAATGTTGATGGACGGGTATATTGTTTGAGGCGTGTTGAAGGTAATAAAGATTCATATATATACACACACACACACACATATATACATACTCTACATTTATCTATCTTTATATAATTATAGGATTCAGACTTACGAATGAATTGGCAATGTCGGCAATAGAAAGTTGGAGAAGAGTTAGACATGCAAATATCGTTTCTATACGCGAAGCATTTACAACAAAAGCTTTTGGTGATAATTGTGAGTGATATGAAAAAATTTCAAATGAAAACATTTTATATTTTCAACTTGGAAGAATAATTCGACAATTTTGTAGTTCTAATAAATGTCGATGATTCGATCGTATGAAAAAGCACTTGTCTTCGTGTACGATTATCATCCTTTATCACAGACCTTATTCGATAAACATTTTGCCGCCCCTCCCATTCCAACGAACTTATCAAACTCGCAAAATGGCATTACTAACGTAATCGGTAACATTCCCGAAAAAGTTTTATGGAGCTATATAACACAACTCGCTTCTGCCGTGAAGACTATTCATTCTGCTGGTTTAGCTGCGAGAGTAATTGAACCAACTAAAATTCTATTAACAAGTAAAAACCGGTATGTTGGAAGACTTTAGCAAGATATATAATAATTATTAATTAGTTAAATACTATTTATTTATTTCTAATTTTCATTCCATAATAATTTTAGAATACGAATTAATTGTTGTGGTGTAATGGATATGTTATCATATGATGGCGGAAAAAACATTCCTCATTATCAGGTTTATTTTTATAAACTAGTTGATTGGTTTTTCTCAAATAATTCATTCATACACTTATACATACACATTTATACATACATAGCAAGATGATCTCTTACACTTTGGACAGTTATTAATCTCACTTGCGTGTAATTCTCTATCGTCTGTTCACAATCTTCCAAAATCAATCGATTACGTTACTCGACAATATTCTCCTGATTTTAAGAAAGTTATTTTGTATTTGTTAAGTAAACCACTTCCAATGAAATCAATAGATGACGTCATAGCGATGATCGGTCCACGTCTAGTACATGAAATTAATAGTGCCCATCAGTATGTATTTAATAAAAAGAAGAGCTATATGTATATAATCAGTTAATTAGTATACATGATGTTGATGATATTTATCTTTGTATTTCTTTAGTTATAGTGACTTTTTAGAAAGCGAATTATCTCAAGAATTAGAAAATGGAAGATTAGTACGCTTGTTATGTAAATTTGGATTTATTAATGAACGTCCAGAGTAAGTTGATATAATAAACAACTAATCGATTGACCTATCGATCAATCAATCAATTGCTAATAATAATATAATTATGTTATTAGATTTGATATGGATCCAAGTTGGTCGGAAACAGGCGATAGATATTTAATTAAACTCTTTAGAGATTACGTTTTTCATCAAGTGGATGAGAATGGTTATCCAGTAGTTAACATGGCACATGTTCTAACATGCTTAAATAAGGTGACTAATTAAAATTAATAATAGTGAAAAATTTTTATATAATTTAAATATAAAATAGAATGATTTCATTTCATCTATTTATTATATTGTAGTTGGATGCTGGTGTTGATGAAAGGATTATGCTTGTTTCAAGAGATGAACAATCATGTCTTATCGTCTCTTATAAAGAAATAAAAAATTGTATTGATTCAGCATTCAGAGATCTTTCTAGAAAAAAATCGAATAATAAATGAGTAATTTATTATTCTCATTATCATTGTTGTTACCATACTATCTCATTATTTTTATTTTATTTTTTTCATAATAACTATCACAATCATAATCATTATTAGTATTACATTAACACTAACACTAGCAACATTATACTAACCAACATAAACACCAACTATCATTATTATTATTGTAATTATTAATTAATCTAATAAGGAGGAGGTTATAATTCATTATTATTATATTACCTTTTTCATTTTCATCATCAACATCATTCAAGTATATATCAACTCATCATCATCATCATCATAAATAACAACAAAATACATTATTATATTATTATATTTCACTTTTCTTATGATCCAACTTTTTTTTTGGTTTTATTTTATTTTTTTTTGTTTCTTTATATTATAAATTATATATATATATTATTATCTTTTCATATTCTATATATTATATAATATATATATATATATCTAGGTGTGATGTGTATGGTTTGGTAAAAAAAAGATTATATTATATTATATTATATTATATTATTTAATATATATATATATATATAGTGAATTCTTTAAAAAAAACATGTAATACTTTTACAAATATTTGAATATTTTTCATGTACGTCTACGTTTACTATTACTACCACTATTATTATTTATACTTCCATTGGTTTGTGGTCGCTACAAATAATTGTTTTTTTTTAGTTAGTAAATTTTTTTAAAATGTTAAAAAAAATATTAAAATCATATAAAAAAAAAAAAAAAAAACAAAATATTCATAATAATAATAAAAAAAATAAACTAATAACATTTACTTTTAAATCATTTTTATTTCCTCCGCCACTGCCACTACTACTGCTACTACCATTACCATTTTGATGATGATAATGAATAAATTTATTATCATCGTCGTCGTTTTGCTCCCTCTGTAACATATTTATAAGTGTGCTACAACGTCTACCCAATTCACCAGCAGCTCTCGATTTAATAAACCAATTAAATCGAAAGCATTCAGAACTCTCAATTTCATTTCGTATTTTCTCATAAACACCCTCAGTTCCATATCCGTATTTTGCAAGTGCCATTAACAAATATCGATCTTCCTCGTCGGTAAATAATGATTTGCCTTTGTTTTGACTTGACAATTGTATATCATAACTGGAATTTTTGTATTGAGCCACCTTTGATTTAATCAGTTCTTGTATTTCTTGAGTTTGTTGCATTTTCTGTTCACTTCTTTCAATCTTTGCAATCAATTCTTCATAATCTGTTTATTTATTTATTGGAGGGGGATGCGAATAAATATTAATAATATGTGGAAACAAAATAAAATAAAAATAGAATTAAATAATACATACTAGGTAATTCTTTATATCGTTCCCAAAACACTTTGGCGTATTTCTTAACATCATCTAATGATTTTTCTATCTCTTCGGCTATTTCTTCAATAGCAGTTCTATCATATTTAAAATCATTAATCAACATCAACCAATCGTCATTATTAATTCATAATTCATAAAATATACTTTAAAACGAATTCCTACCTTCCATATTTAGCTGAAGCAGTTATAAAGTTATTGAAATCACGTTTGCTCCAATCTTCAAATGCCTTATTACAATAATTTTATATGATATTAAAAAGAGTAACAAAATTTATATATATAATTTAAATATTGTATTCTTACTTTTTTCATTAGTGAATTTTTTTCGGCTTCTTCTTCTCCAGTCAAAGGTTCAGCTATACATGTGTGTAGAATACATTAGTTATAAAGTCTCTGATTCAGTTAATTAATATAGAAAATATGCGCATACCATTATCAATTTTATCCTGTTCTTCTTGACGTTCACTTTCTCTTAATTCTGGGTTATCATTTTGAGGTAAAGGTTCTGCTAATGGGACCTTGAAATTCATTAATTTCTAAAGCATCAAATATTTTAATAAACGATGTTAGGTAATAATTATTTAATATAAAACATATTGAATTCTAGATTTGTAAATGGTACATACATGTTGATGATAATTCTCTTTTTTCAATAATTCAACTAAACGTGGAGGATAAAATTGAAACTCTGCACTATTAATAATATAAAGAAAAATCAATTAATAACTATATAATAAATAAAAAAATATATATACATAGATGCAGTAGCTTTTAAGACTTACAAAGTGATTTGTTTTGGTATTTTTGGGACTTTTGGTTGAGCAGGCTTTGAAGTTACCCTTAAAGCTTCTCTATAATACGAATCTATTGCATAATTAGCTTTACGTTCACGTTTTGGTGGTTCTATCCAATTGAAACCTCGTGAATTTTCTCCTTTGCGCTATAAAAAATATATTGTTTAACAAAAATCATATCAATTATAAACAATTCTCACCGATTGTTAAAAATAAGACCAACCTTATTCACCCAATTCTCTCCTTGCCATTCATAAGATGAACTAGAGTCGGATGTAAACTTTTGCAAATCATCCAATCCAAGACTTTGGAATTTCTGATTGAGTTCGGCGGTTTTTTCTTCACCTTTACGTAAAATATAATCAATATCATTATCACTGACGGTGCTATCAGCCGAACTAAAAATTTTCTCTGCGCCATGTTGGATCATTGATAAAAGTTCTTCCTTGGTGGCATCTAAATGAATATTTTAAAAAATATAAATAACGGGAATGAATAAATTAAATGTATAGCCTTTTAATGGAATAACAAATGGTTATATTTATATACTTTTTTGTGCATGATTGGCTCGTCCTTGTTGAATAACAAGTTGATCTAATCTTAGTTTTTGTGCTGCTCTTTCAAGAACTTTTTCTTCGATTGAATTCTAAACGACAGTTTTTTTTAAAAAAAATCATGAGCATTTATAATGTTTTTAAAATGTGACAACCAACTAAATATTCATTTATCCTATCTAACTTACTTCAGTTACAAAACGAAACACATAAACTTGTTTTGTTTGGCCAATACGATGAGCACGATCTTGTGCTTGTAAATCAACCTGTGGATTCCTATAAACATAAAGAGAATACAAAATTATTTGTCCAAGAAAAAAATAAACAGTAAATATTTATATTTATACATTTTAATTACCAATCACTATCAAATATTATTACAATGTCTGCAGATGTAAGATTGATTCCGAGACCACCGGCCCGTGTTGTTAAAAGAAAAACAAATTTCTCGCTGTCAGGAGCATTATATTCATCAATTGCATTTATTCGATCCTCCTGTTTAGTTTGACCATCAATACGACAATATTCTAATTATTGTTTATAAATAAATTATATCATATAAATAAACCTAAATGCTTTCTAATAATCTAATAATAATAGTACTATTATTATTGTTATTGTAAATTAAGAATAAAAATTATTACCATAATTTTTAAATATACAATAATCTTCCAGTATATCAAGAACACGACTCATTTGACTAAATAATAAGACACGAGATCCTTGAGCCTTTAATCGTTTGAGAAGTTTATCCAATACAATCATTTTTCCTGAATTCTCAATAATATGTACATCATTTGTGTATGGAGGTCCAGGCTCCTATTTTACATATTTGTTTTTTGAGAATTAGAACATAAATAATTATACATACACACACACATTATTATTATTATTATCATTATCGTTAACATTAATATACATACAGCTCCATCAAATAAATACGGGTGATTACAACATTTTCTAAGTTGCATCACGATGTTCAATAAACGTGTTTTACTTTCACCTTTACCCAATGCGCCTTTTTTTTATTCATAGAATGGAAGAATTATTAATTAATTTAGTTTTTTTTTCAACATCGACAAATACTAATTTAGACACAGATACATACCATTAACAGCAGCAATGTCTTTTTCCAAAATACGTTGATACCATTTTCTCTGCATTGTTGACATACCCACGTATATATTTACTTCTTTTTTCGGAAGTAAGGATTTTTCAACATCAGATTTTATTCTACGAAGTAAGAAAGGTCGTAAAACCTAATAAAATATATGGATTGATGAATTTATGTGTAAGTAAATGAATATGTGAATATGTGAAATATGAATATAAATAATATATAATATTTTATAATGATAAAAAATACCTTGTGTAGTTGTTGAACGACTTTATCTTGATCTCCATCTTGAGATTCAAACCAAGAATCAAAATCATCTGAGGAACTGAATAAATCAGGCAAAAGAAAATTTAAGAGAGCCCACAACTCGTGAAGATTATTTTGTAAAGGAGTTCCTGTTATCAATAGGCGATTTTTGGATTGGAATATTCTAACTATTTGCGATAGCATTGAATTTTCATTTTTTATTCGATGAGCTTCATCAATTACTATGTACTGGAACTCAAATTTTTTAAGGGCTGCTTTTTCGATCAAGCACATTTCATAGGATGTTATGCATACTTGGAAATCTAATTTAACTAATCTCTCTTCTTTTATCTTTGTCTTTCAATGGAAAAGATAATTAATCAATCATCAAAATCAATAAATAAAAAAATAACAATACAAAAATACAAAAACATCACTCACTCTTTCATCTTTGTTTCCATGAAAGATAAGAACATTATAATCAGGTATCCAATTATTGAATTCTTTTTGCCAATTGTTTAACGTAGATTTTGGGGCAACAATTAAATGTGGACCAGATATATTACGAAAATCTCTCAAATAACCTAAAAATGATATTGTTTGTAAAGTTTTTCCAAGACCCTATTAAAAAGATATAAGTAAGCATACATGTAGATAGATAGATAGATACACAAGAATCTTATTTAATTAATAGGTACAAATATTTACCATTTCATCAGCCAAGATACCATTTAATTGATTTTCATAAAGTGAAATCAACCAGTTAAGACCTTGGATTTGATAATCACGCATTACACCATTCTTTATGTCTACAACAACAACGAGTAATATAATTATGCTAGAACTTGGCAAGTAGATGACGTTTTTATATATTTATAATAATATACTTACAACTTGGAGACTCGGTGAAAGAAGTGATTTCGTTTGATTCGTCAGCTTCATCCTTCAAAAGTTCTTCATCTTCGTCTTTTTCAGTTTTACGATGTCTTCGTGAGCTCGGAGAATCTTCTAAGCTTATTACTCTCTTTTGTTCAGTTTCTTCAAACATTTTTTAAAAAATTTTTATTTAATTTATGTGTTTACAAAACTGCCTTAAATATCAGAATAATTGTTTATTTTTTTTTCGGAAAAGTTGTTACAAAATAATTTTCTGATTATGATGATTTTCAATATTAATTTGATACGCTTGTAAAACACGCTTATTAATGTGTTTTATTTGTTAAAAAATTACATGTGATGAAAACCGATAAAATAAAGAAAGGCTTATATATATATATATATAGTGAGTGTATGGAACCAGTAATACTCATAAATGGCATTGTGTTCAAGCCCTCTCATGAAATTTACCCTGGTGTTATTCCATCTTGTATTTTTAATATTTTTTATGTATAAATTATATAATGTATTAATCAAATAAAAAACAATTTCTCTTTTTTGTTGTTTAATCCTTCCTTTCCTTGTATGTATGTGTGACATGCCTTTCTTTGTCTCCATATTAATATATTATATCATATATCCGTTACAATTCATTTGATGCTATTATTATCTAACATGTGTGTTTTTTATTAAATTTACAAGGGATCAACAAATAAATTATAATACTAGGAACCAATTCTGAAAAAAGCCATATAATGTCCTAACAAGTAAAAATGAGAAAATTGAAAAATAAATCCTTGAATTTCAATCCGAGCTTCCTTTCCATGTAACATGAGAGTTCATCATCACCTTGTCATCCAAGTGGTAATGAAAAAAAAAGCCATAATGGTAAAGTCTCTCACTCACTCTACTTGAGTCTTTGGAGTTGCAAATCACAGAGTTCTAAAAATAAATTAAACCTAAAGATATTGAGCTTGGGTGTTAGATTTACAAATTATCCTCTTCATGCCTATGCAAGTTCTCGATTGTTATCCTCCCTCATGGCAGGCAACAGAGAAATAAATCAAAAGTTACACCAACAGCTTGCTTACTTCTGCTCAAGATCTGCTATTTGATTGAGAATTAAATATCAAGTTAAATAACTCTTACCTATAACATTTTGCAGATTTTTGATGACATTCGCCCACCACTCTTCCGAATCCTTGTGATGCTAAATGCTTGCTTTAATACCAGAGATCATTGCCTCATGTGACTATTTGGGATAAAATGCCTGAACATAGGAAAACTTAACAGGTACTTCAAAATGAAACCCAATGCAATTTCAACAAAATTCAAAGGCCCCTCCCTCAACCATTCTAAATTTCCCATTGCACTATATCCGTCAAGTTTCGAGGTTCTGATTAGCCATTTCTTGCAAAATATATGATTAGAGTGATTAAAGTATTTAAAGATAATTATCAATAAAATAAAGGTAACAACAAAGATTTATCTAAAAATAAATAATTCGAAATTAAAAAAAAAAAATCAGATTTCATTTCAATTTTAAAATTGTTATTATTATTTAAAGATCACCTACTGTTTTTAATTATTAATTCTCAAGATCATAAATTCGAATGTTCAAACGCTATTTTTGATTCATTACTGTTTCCATGTCTGTTTTCTTGATAAAACAAGTCGAAATAATTTACAATAATAATGCTAAGGTTTAAGGTTTAATAATAGTCTTTTTGTAGAATTAAATATTGTCAATTAGAAGTAAGCAATTAAATTGAAAGACTAATCTTTCGAAACTTTTTCGCTTCCTTCCCTGCTTAACTTTGCATTGCTAGATTATTCATTCTTTTTGTCCCCAGTAATGAGTATAATGAACAGTGAATAATTTAGAAATGTGCTGTTTAAATTATCTCGAGATCAATATTTATATTCAACTTCAAGACTTTCTCAAGTGCTATTTTTTTCCTTTAGTTATTTTATTGTATCTACTAGAACATAACTTTATTAAAAAAATTTCATTTTACTGTGAGTAAAAAAATATATCTGTGGGATATATATATATATATATTAATATATAATTAATATATATAAATATATATATGTGCTTACTTTACAAGGAAGATGATCTCACCAAAACAGTAAAAAAAATTTTTTATATATTTTATTTTATTATTATTTGATTTTTTTTTTTACAAATACAAAAAAAAATGTATAAATTTTTACATATATTAAAAAAATTAAAAAAATTGTCCTATCTACAAAAAAATTAAATAAATTAAATACATCCATTAATTTGCGACTATTAATGATTTAAATAAAAAAAGTTATAAACAACCCCATAAACGAAACCAAGTATAGAAGTCGAGAGGTAAAGCTATAATTAAAAAAATTTAAATTTAAGATTTAATATTTAATTAAAATTAATATAAATATTATAAAATAACAACATCACCACCAATTTAAATACCTAGGTTTTTCAAATCGGAATCCAAATAAATTTGATAAACTTCATAATCTTCAACCAAAAATTCAGTCTCGTTGATAATCTTTGTCTCAAAGACGGTAGGTATTGCACAACAATTATTACTCTCGCTACTAAATTGTTTATAGAATCGAAGATCATTTATGCCAAAACTTGGACCTGCATTTGGATCATCATAAATTGTATAGTGTGATGAGCGTTGCTTGGGTCGACTAATGAGGAATTCTTGTTTCTCTGGAGTGCCAAAACTAAACAAAAAACCTTTTTTTGTATATCTCCATTTAATGCCTTTACCAAACCAACCTACAGGATTATAACCACCAATTATTTGTTGACTTTTTTTTACTTTCATGATTACTATATTCGGACCTTTATTATCACATAAGTGATGAAATTTCTTTGGTGAAAGTCCGTCTCGACTACCTCGTATCAACAATCTAAGATTGAATTTTAGTCGTGAGGTATCCTTGTTAAAATTATTTGGAAGTAATTGACCGAAATCGTCATTTTTGTAGATGAATTTTTTAAATTTATTGATCTGATCTCGATTAAGTAATTTTGATTCGAAATTATTTAAGATCGGGCTTCTGATTGGTAGAATGTGATCCAATTCAATTTTAGGATATTTGTGATAATTCCATAATTCATGCTTGATTTCCAATGGCAAGATATCTTTTAATGGTTTGATTTTCTCGCAGCAATCATCTATATTAAATTCCAAAAATCTAATCAAAGGTATTAAATCATGTAGAATTTTTTCCAATTCAAATAAATCCTCTTTTTTTAAATCCCAATAATTAATATCGTTATCCAAGTCGCTAAATTTTGATTTGTGGATTCCCCATTTAATCAAATGATCCCAAATTTCGATTTCGCTAATTTGTAAGAAATCCTGCTTTAAAATTATCGACAAAACATATTCTGATAAATCGTAGAAATCTTTCGATTTAAAAATAATAGATGGTTCCCATCCGATTATTTCCAAACAAAAATCTTGCAATTTTTGGAATTCTTCATGCTCGCACGCAATATTGAACACCGTCAAAAGATTTTGTTCGATCCATTTTGCTTCATTTTGTATAAGATGATCTTGTGCAGGGTAAATTAAATCGCCCAAAATTAGTAATTCATCTGAAGCCACCAATATTTCCAATACTTGTGGTCCATTGAATTGACTTAGATCAACTTTATTAGTATATATAAAACTAACATATTAAAAAATGAAAAAAATAAAAATAAATTAACCAAGTTTGTTAAAGTTAATATTGATCAATAAATCAACCAACCAATTTATTAACGTGATTATTTTTATTTTTCTTACTTTATTATTATCGAAAAAGTTGCATAAGAAATATTTGGTTTCAAAATAACAAATTTTCCGTCTTCTTTTTTTGCCCAAGTTGATGATAACGCAGCCTCGAAATAAGGTGATCGTTCACGTAAAATTCTTGAATGTGCAAATAATTCTTGAAGTTTTTCACCAGCCTTGATTAATACATCATAGTGATAATTTTGATCGTCTTGTGTTGTTGTTGTTGATTGAATTTTAAGATTTTTATTTAAAATTTCAAGCATTTTTTTTTTAAATATTAAAATTTTATTTTTCTTGGAAAATTATATCAGGGAAAATATAAAATATATCAAGTATAGAACAATTGGATATTTATTTATATAATTTATTTTATACGTTTTATAATATAAAAAGCCTCATTTTGATGACGACACAAACATTTTAGAAAAAGGCTATTGTTATATATAATAATATAATAATATTTCATTGTATTCTTTTATCGACAATTATTAACTAACAATCCATAATCGATAATTGTTTAAGTATGTTGCATCAAATTGTTTTATGAAATTAACCATTATTATTTATTTATTATATATATTAATTAATATGAAAATTTAAATTAAAAAACTTGTGATAAGCGACCACCTGACGATCCTTTTTGAAAACGTTACGCCTTCGACATTCTAAAATCAGTCATATGTGATTTTTTTGTGATCGGCATATTATTAACGGAATTTTCTGTTTTCAAATTATTATTTTTTCATTCAAAGATATACAGTAGATACCAAATTTGCATGAAATGTAATAATGTAAGTAGTGGTATAAAGAGATCCGGAGAAATTTTATGACACAAAAATGTTAATGATATAAAAAATCCATTTAAAATACAACGAAAATTCATTTATTATAATATTTTTGCTCTATTATAACTTCTAAAAACAATCATGTTCTCTCCATAGCAGTGTTTTACAGCCAAAAACCTTTAATATTTTCACAAACAGAATGACATCCAGAAAGCCTTAGCAATCGGGAGTTCCAAACATTGGTAAAAAGCACTTTTTCGAATTATTACTCTTCCTCCATTTTCAAAGGTTACGGATACCAAGTTTACATAAAAGTAGTATATAGACAGTAGTATATAGTTATGGAGAGATTTAATGGCTATGAAAATGCTAATGGTGTAAAAAACTCATTTTTTATTGTGACACTTTTGCTTTATTACAACTTCAAAACAACTATATGAAATAACCATATTCACTCCATAACAATGCCTCTCGACTAAAAACTTCTGTGATTTTCAACAATTAGAACGATTTTCCAAAAATCTTGGCAATCGAAAATTCTAATAAAATCGTTTCATATAACAAAGGGAACCATGAAAAAATCGGATAGATTCACATTATTATTATTTAATTATGCATATCAAATTGTATTAACCAAACCTGGCTTAGTGCATTAAGTAAACATGTCAATTTGCATATAGATTTAAAGTTTCATTAGAGAGCGGTCGGATGCTTTTCACGAACAATTTTATACTGATTCTATATTTACAAATATGTAAGTACGTAATTCGCTACGTCGAACACGTTTTTTAATGGCGAAACAAAGAGATCCGGTCTTTTATTACATTCAATTAAAAAATTGCTTTTTGGATAATTAAATGTTTCAATATTTTTCATTTGATACTACAGATCATAGATGGTCAGATATTTGAGCTTAAGTTCATAAAACAAAATAAGAAGCTGTTTAAATGATCAAGGTTTAATAAATAAAAAATCTTTTAATATATTAATATACAGTATAACCTGATAAATACAATCATTTTAATTTCGTGAAACGTGAAATTATTCAATAATTAATTATATATATATTCATTCTATCAACCAACCCCATATTTCTCATTGTCAAAAAATTTACCTAAAAAATTCTTTTTTGAATTTTACATTGTTTTTAAATCCTTATTATAACAAATAATACAAAGAAAATCATCATTATAAATAATAATAAATAAAATATGACAATGCAGCTTTAATTGTTTGAAAATTGGGGCTGTTTAAACATTGCTTTTCATTATAATGAAATAAATTATATAAAAAAAATAAATAAATTAAAAATTCTCCTCGGCAGATTGACTGACATAATAACATTTTAAGAACTTTGGCGCTCCGCAAAAAATTTTTTTATGCCGATTCAATAGCACAAATAATATTATTTGTTTATTGACAACTTTCATTTAACTTGGATCTTTGATAATAATTTAAATTGACAATTTGTTAATATTGTTAAAGATTTTAATGGAAAAATAAACACAAAACACAATAGCTCAAAAGTGAGAGGAGACTACTTTATGTGTTTGGAAATAGTGAGGGTTCCTTCTTTTCAAATTATCGTTGGATTACCTTCAAAACATCAGGCATACATAAATCCTTTTAAAGATTCATTCAATTCATTATTTTGTTAATTAAGCTATGGCAAATCCCGAGAATACATCTTTTTGGGATAAAACTATTGATTGGTTGTTGATTTAAAGACGTAAAAGTTCAACAAGACATAAGTCATTCTTTTTATACAAAATTATTGTTCTATAGAGAGATTATCGAAAGAAAAATGTTAATAGAGAACTGCAACGAAACTATGATGTAAGGACGAATTTTTATTTGTCAAATCAAACGATAATTTTGGTAATTTTATTTATATTCAACCATATAATTTATTTATTATTTTGATTACGAGTACCAATTTGGACGGTGATTTTTATGCACTTAAATGAATTAGGTTTGTGGCTTTATATAATCTAATTTTGCTGAATATTGTATTCTTTTATTTATAAATTTAAATATTCTATCATTATATCTATTGTTATTCGCGCCATCAAATTAAAATACAATGAAAATAAAAAAGTTAATTACCAATATTTGTTATTATAATAATCATTAGTCCAGTTTTGTTGGCCACGAAGCAACTATTTCTCGCAAGTTTATATAAACTTGCGCCAGATTGTTAACCTTCATGAGATTAAGTGCATCAAGTACTATACCAGCAATATTATTGATTAGTTATTTATAATTTTATAATAAAGATATTAAAATATTCAGTTAATTATTGACATATTACACTAACCATATTTAGTATTTATTAATGTTAAATGTGTCGGACCAGAAATTGAATTTCCTAAAAGGTTTAAAATTGTTTATTGATAAAATTACCAAAGTAATTCGAAAAAGTGGAGGTAATAAGATTCTATGACGCTCCCAAAATGATTTTAATGAAAGGATTGCAACCATATAAAGAAATTTTTAAAACAAATTTATATCATGAAATCATTCAATATTATCCAGAGTTGGTAGTGGTTGAGGCTTATGTATTTTGATCTGGTCTATTGTCATTAATAAAATGCTAATATGATACGCCAATAGATCTAATGGACTGGTCAATTGTCAATCCTGATATTATCAATCCAGTATATATATAGAAACCGAAGTATATAGTCTAAGAACAGGAGCTGGGAGACACAATCAAAGCTCCTTATTTCTTGCTGATTAGATGAAAATGATAATACATATGATCCAAATAATATATCTCAGATACAAACTGGTGCTTTGCAGATCTACAATAGAGCCAGATAGAGTTTTGATAAACGGATATCCTCTTAAAATTCCTGGATGGGGTATCTGAATTGCTATGATTTAAACAGATATGATATCTGGATTGCTATAATTTAAAAGATAATAATAATAAGTATTTAGATATTTAAATTAATATCCCAAAGATTATTAGGGACTTTAATTGATGGTTATCTTTGGGAATCCAAGCTCTAATCTACATTAGTTTTTGAGGAAAAATGTAACAATGCTGAATAAACCGTAAACCATCATGAATAAAGCTCCGAACGAGCCTAGCCGAGCCAAGAAATAATAGGCTCAAGTCTGACGCCACATAAATTTTTTTAAGTAACAAATGATTAATTTTATTTATGCACATTACCTAAAAAACAATTTAAGAGCCTATTTTCTTGAACTCAGCTCGAACTTGAAAATTCAAGTTTTAATTCGAGCCTGCTCAACTTAAGGAGTAAAGCGAATAAACCGAACGATTCAAATAGATGAATAAAGCGACGATTCGAATAAACAAATAAAACGAATGATTTGAGAGAATCAAATAATTCGAATAAAATAAAATGAATAATTCAAATAAACGAATAAACGAATAAAATAAACCAATAAAACTAATAATTCGAATTAATTGAGTTGTATTACGAATAGGAACTCTAGCTCATAATAAAGATTTTTTAAACAAGTTGCATTCGTTTTGATTCTCTACAAATATCTGAGCAAACATTGTGAAATTTTATACAGTCGTTTCAATTAAATTCGCGTTACTATGAATTTTTAAAACATAAAATTCATTGAACGTGATTAATAATTTTAGTATAATGCAATTTCTTGTGCATATATTCCAGAACCTAAAAAGCATTGTTCTCATTTGAAATTTTCGGAATTTTTTAGTCTGTCATAAAATTATTTATGATGATTTAAATGTTCTAAACTTATACAAATTATTATAGTTTATTATTACTTCAATTATTTTCAGTGGCCCGCAAAATCGTGATTTTATAAAAAAATAATATTAAATTTCGAGTTGGCTCAAACTCGGCTTTGGATCGGCTCGACTCGAGTTTTCGAGTTCGAGCCAAGTTTGAGCCAGTATTTTTTTATATGCGAGCTGGCTCGAACTCGCATATTTGAGCCCGAGTCGGGCTCGAGTTAAGCATAAACTCGGCTCGGCTCGTTCTGGGCTTTAATTATGGACATTAAAGAAAATGGTGTATTAATTGGTGATTACAATCCAGTACATTGGAATGATGATATTTATTTTTAAGATTGATTATAATGATGGAAATGATGATGATGTTTATGAAAACAAATTAAATATTGGACTTAAACATAGAGTAAGACATTTATTAAAGTAGCTGATTTTTTTTTTTGGTTTAATGGATTTAATTTTTTTTTTTTTTTTAATATAATTATTAATTATTCAATTTCGATCTTGTAAATATTGCTGTAATTAAAGAGATCTTTGTTTATAACGCCTTCCATATTGCAAGCGTGCAACCCGAGTTATTATTATGCATAATTTGGGTTACAATTCTTGACACATGACTTGAGATTTTTTATTTTCAATTGTAACATGGATTGGCCATTCATTTTTCATTTTTATATTTATTGAAAAAATGTATTTGGTATTTGAAAAATATTTTAGTGAAAATGAAAGATTATTAAATACTGAAGATTTTTATGATGTGAAAATATATGTTGGCATAGAACCAAACATTAAAGAGGTTCATGCACATGCATCTATCATATCAGCTCATTGTCCATTTTTTAGCAATGTATTAAATAATTCAACAAAAGAAAATGGATATTATACTGTTAAAAAAGCTGATATCAGTGAAAAATGTTTTAAACCTATTCTCAAGTATGTTTAAATAAATTTATTATTATTTATCAATATTATTAAATATATAATAATGATGAATGTGTTTAATAATTTATTTATTTTTTAAGGTTTTTATACA